AATTTTCTAACAAAATTGCAACCACTAGCTGTGCTCGAAGTGTGCTTTACTGTGCCGATGATATTTTGAACTGTGCCGTTCCGGTACCAAAGTTATAGGAAAAAAAAAGATAAACCCCTCAAAATTTTGGAAATCAGGTCAAACAAAAAATGGATAATGGATTCTTATGCAATCTGAAGTGTGCCGAACTGTGCTGTATCAGGTTTTTCTGGAAATTTTCATACTCGATCATTTTCAGACAAAATCCTACTGGGGGCTAACTTGACGCTCAGCCCCCAAAATTTTGGAAATGAGATCAAACAAACATGGATTCCTATACAATAGGAAGTGTGCTGAACTGTGCTGTATTAGGGTTTTCTCAAAATTTCCATATTCGTTAATTTTCCGACAAAATCGTAATAGGGGGGGGGGGGGGGCTAAAAAACATTTTGGAAATCAGATTTTAAAAAAATTGGATTTTTATGCAATCTGAAATGTGCTGAACTATGCTGTATCAGGTTTTTCTCAAAATTTCCATATTCGGTCATTTTCTGATAAAATCCTACTGGGGTGGGGGCAAGGGGGGTAGCTAGGCGCTCGGCCCCTCAAAATTTTTGAAATTAAGTAAAAAAAAAATGGATTCTTATCCAATGTGCACCAGTGCAAATATTTAATCGCTTGGAGTATACCACACCAGTGCTTGAATAGGAATCCATTTTTGTTTGATTCGATTTTCAAAATTTTGGGGGGCTGAGCGTCCATAGCCCCCCAGTAGGATTTTGTCAGAAAATGACCAAATATGGAAATTTTGAGAAAAACCACACAGTGCAGCACACTTCAGATTGAATAGGAATCCATTTTTTTTGATCTGATGTCCAAAACTTTGGGGGCGCTGTCAAGTTAGCCCGGTTAGCCCCCAATAAGATTTTGTCGGAAAATTACCTAGTAACCAGCAAGCACGAAACATCTACAGGCAGTTTTGCGATGTTCTTTCTAAATCCCCTGCAGATATTGTTATGTTACAATAGCTGGGTTCGGGATAGCCCAGCGGTGTTGGAGTAAAGTTGGAGTGGCGTTTTTATCACATGACCAAAAAGCTTTTGGAGTGGATTAGTGAAACCGAACGGCCAGGGTGCATTTGGAGTTTCTTAACTTAACCTAACCGCTCAAATGACAATTATCATTTTAAAAACAAACGTTTTTCTAGTCTTTTCTATGAATTTTTGGTATTTGGGCCTATATTTGATTTTATTGGGGACGTTTTTTCCGGAGACTTGTCTGAAGAAGTCATCAAGATTATCATTGCAAATTTCAGTGAAATTACGCGTTGCTCACATGTCAAATAAGCAGTTTAAAATCCATTCCATTCCATCTAATTACTGATTAAATATTGATGTATTGAGTGTCGATTAGTCGAATAGTCGATTGTCGCAATCAAAAAAATAGGATAAATGACACAAAATCACGAAAACACACACACTGCGCATACCAGCTCTGGCGCTTGATAATGACGAGGTGGTGCTTTCAGAGTCAGCTCTTTTGACTCCCGCACGTCCTTCCCGAACGGATGTGGAGTGTGGAGTTACTCTTTCAGCTCAAAATGACAATACCCGAACGCATAGGGAGTGTTTATTGCACTTGGAGTTTATAGAACAGTCATCCCGAACCCACCTAATGTAGAGAAGTACTGAAGAATTCCAATTGCGACTTTGAAATGTCTCATGCCGGTTCTTTGGTTATATTACGTTGGGTCGTCCGCAGGAGATTTTAGAGACATAAAATTTAAGAGACTATCTGAATTCTATTTGCACATACTGGCAATATTCCAGCTTGCGTTCTGTAGAATTTAAACTGGATATGTTCTACGTATATCGATGGCTTGTCCCACCGAGACGTCGCCCAAAAACCTCTATAGTATATTTCATATGAACATCAGGGTGAAGTACAAAAAAACTTCGGGTAGCTACGCATTCAATTTATGTCTCACCTTTTTGTCGAATAGAAGTTTCAATTAAATCCCTACAGAACTTTGAAATTAATGTCGATATCACTTCGATAGTTCATTACAAGCGATCACATTCTCGAAGACGCTCTGCGATACCCTCCTGATATAATGAAGAGAAAGACGCTGTTTTTTTTTACTACTCTAACCTCGCATCGCATTAGTCACATCACATGGCTTCTGGTCCTGGCTCTTGAATAACGTTTTAATATATTTTCTGTACTTCCTGTTTTGCCATCGGATATTGCGTGTGCAGGACGTGGGTTTCAGAATTATATAGTTTGCAAGTTTGCTGGTTTTTAGTTTTTGGAGTTCGGGTTTTTTTTACATGGCTCCTGACGGTAGTTGATGTTGATTATTATTATTAGTAGTGTTGGGAAAAGAAAAGTGCAGTGAATCACCCGTACCTATATTCTTTCAGCTTTTATGATCATTTTGTGTATCGTAATAAAAATTGGTTTGTCACTTAATGTAGTTCTAAAAAAACTGATCGGTATGCATACTTGATAAAAATTTAAAAAAAAAAAAATTATATATGTAGTGTGTCCCACGGTGGATGGCGTATTAGACGTTTATGGAGAACTAAAAAGCGGATTATTTTGAAAATTTGGCAACCGGGATAAACGACCATGATCTACACTTTAAAAATATTTTTGACCATGCGGTGTTGCCGCTTCTACTCTAAACTAGTGGCAACATCACTATTTTAAATGGAACACCCCGTATTAAATTGCATATTTGGATTCTACGTAAAATTCTAAGCAGATTTCATGTGATATACCCTATACCTAAGTTCAACTGTTTTGGAAATATTGACAGTTGAAAATTGACTTTTTGCAACTCTAGAGTCTAGAGACTTTTTCGAGTGCATAATCTGAGATTTTGAACGCTGATTGGCTAGATTTTGGGGCCTCACTAGGGCCTTGGCTTAATCGTTCAAATTTATCGCTGGTCGCCCAAGTCTACCAGCAAATGTTGGCCAATCAGCGATCAGCGTTCAAAATCGCAGATCACGCAATCGAAAAAGTCTATAGACCTTATGAACAGACTTTATGGCATCGGGGGATTTACCGGATTCACCCGGACTCACTGTTCCGTTTTTCATTTCAACCTAACCTCAATACGAACCCACAGCGCCATCCACCAGTAAGTGCAAGGTGATAAATTTGAAAATTACAGGTAACTTCCCATAAATTCTCAAAAATTACCGTATATTCTCGAACCTAAAAAATCATAAATCCTCGAGAATTTGAGACCAAAGAATATTATTGGTAAATTCTCTGTTCTCAATAGAAGTTCTTTGGAGAATATTCTCAGGGCCATCTCTATATGGTACTATCGTACTCTACTCTCTAGTCTAATAAATAATCATTATATAGTTTTTGCTAATGTTCTGGAAGCACGTTCTCTGAAATTAAAATGTAATTTGGAACCTCTCAAAGTGGTTTCGAGTTACAATGTTTCAGAAACATTAGCTAGCGACATTCTGAGTATTGTCGCTTGAAGATCTTGCTCAGATTTACTGTGGATGTTCTTTCAAGACTTCTATGGGACATTTGCTTTTCATATAACATAAGATATATCCTCGAGACGAACTGTGGATGTTCTTCTGCGACTTCTATGAGACGTTTGCATATAACATAAGATATCCTTGAGGCATTTGGCAGTTCCTGCGAGATCTTTGAGATATTCGTGGAATTTACTGCGTGTTAGTCGCATACCTCAAGGTATATCTTTGATACTTCTATGGGATGATTTGATGTTTGCTGGGGTGTGGAAATTTTGAGAAAAACCTGATACAGGACACTCCACTTCAGATTAAATAGGAATCAATTTTTGTTTGATCTAATTTCCAAAACTTTGGGGGGGGGGGGGGTGAGCGTCAAGTTAGCCTCCTCCAATAGGATTTTGTCGGAAAATTACCGAACATGGAAATTTTTAGAAAAACCTGATACAGCACAGTTCAGCACATTTCCGATTGCATAAGAATCCATTGTTGGTAGATCTGATTTCCAAAATTTTGGGGAGGCTGAGCATCAAGGTAGCCCCTCATCTTGTTTTTCCTATAGCTTTGGTATCGGAACGGCGCAGTTCAAAATATTATCGGCACAGTAAGTGGTTGAAATTTTGTTAGAAAATTCGAATGTGGGGGGCTAACTTGACGGAGAACCTATCCGTGAGGGGTCCGTTTATTGTTTATCGCATCGCTAGCAGGTGATTGGCCAAGGGTGCTCGTACTACTTTTCAGGGGTCCTCGTACCAATTGGCAGGTAACACGCGCTCCAACAACTAGCCGCCTGTTCGTGCAATATAGTTTAAAGGTATTTGTCTCTATTTTTTTTAATCCTGTATAAAAATATATTTATATACCTAGATAGAATATGCCGCCCCCTTGGACTGCCGCCCTCGTGCGGTGCACGAGTTGCACGAGTGTAAAATCCGGCCCTGCAGTCTATACATATGTATATAATCCAAGGGTAGAACAAGTAAAGTTCAATTTAATTTGTAATAAGTTTGCGGTTCAAGTGGCGGTAGCTTATTCACATGTCCCTTTTTCGAAAGTCGGGGACTATGCGCCCATACCCTTCAAATGGGTTAGCATTGATTTCGCGGCAAATATTCATTTTGAAATTTGAAATTCAGGATATGCACTCGTATGAATAAAGTGTAGCAAATGCTTCCACTCTACCTCCGTCTCTTTTTGCTGCATTAAAACTAAATATGTTTATCTCAAAAAACTTAAGTAAAAGCATTTGCTTCTGTTTTATTCATATGAGCTTTTGATATCGGATATCTTTCGATTTGCTCAATTAAAATCTAAAATCTTAATGAAGAAAGTTAAATTCAAAACAAATACCTATGATGATGATCAACTACATATTATTAAAAGTTTGATAATGGTCCATCGGCGCATTCACAAACAGTTTTAAGTTTTTTTATCAATCATAGCTTGATCTGGCAACGTAATAATTGCACCTTTTTTTTTTAAATTTATTTCTAAATAATTTTTTTTTTACAGATTTACCACGACGATGAATTTGAATGTTCCGACGTATGCGAATGCGAACTTGGCGAAAAACTGTCGTGTCGCACCATTTGTATCGACCGGATGCCTTGCAAAACCGAATTCGCTTTTTACAATCACGCAGCTCCAGCTTATCAAGCTTTCAGAGGCCGATGTCTTTGCTATTCGGGCCGATTTATTTGTATGAAACCTTCGCCTACGGACTACACTTTGCCACACGGCGTGTTCCTCTTCTTGGGCTACAGTGAAGTGGATGAAAGAGAATTGAATAAAAATCATACCACGCATTTGGTGGTCATACAGGATGTTGTAAGGGTGTTGCAGACGTTTATTAGAGAGGAGGCTGAGAAGAAAAATGGAGTAAGGATTTTGTGTTTGTTTTTTATTAGTATAATTTAATACTTTTTTTGTTGTAGTCCTTATGCACATTGGAATTTTTCAATTCGACGAGAGAAAATGTTATTTTGGTAGGAAAACTGTCAGATGAATTTGATGATAGTAAATTGACTCCCATGGAAATATTGGAAAAAGAAAAGGTAGGTCTTGTGTTTGTTTTATTTTATTTTTTTGCCATTAAGTCTTCCACCTTCTAATTTTTTTTTCAATCAAAAATTCAGGATGAATGTTCCGAGTTCCTAGAAACAATCACCGACCGCATCAATAACCGACACACAGAATTTTTATCGCACGTCCTCTTATCCGTCTTCAAAATGGCCGAAATCGAAATCGTACCAGTGGAAACGTCCCGCGCCGCGCCCAGTACCACCACATCGAATACCGTTTTCATTTTCCTTTTAATCCTATCCATTTTCACTATTAAAAACTATCTGACAACGTCGTGACAATGAGACTGAAACAATACATATCACTTTATGTAGCTTAGTAGGGTGTCTTTGAAACACTTTTGCTATAATTATTATAAATTGAAAAATGTATGTTTTTTTTCTTTGCAGTAAATAGTTGGTTCCAGAGTCGATTTGTATAAAAGAAAATTATAAGCGCACCCTAGTGTATATTGATCATAGCAAAATTACGCACTGTTGCCAAATATTTTGCATTTTTGGCAACTATGTAAATAGAATAACAGAAACGCTTAAGTCGTTTTGACATTTGCCTACTTTTTCTGGCTGTCAGTTATTGCGGTGACAATGACAGTTTTCTTCAAAGCGCCTTTGTCAAAGGCTGTCTATGAAAAAGAAACGAAAAGCCATTTACCCATGGATTAGGGATTGGTTGTCGAATGTAGGTACACCACCTTTTTTTTTACTTCAAAATTTGAAAAACATAGTGACAATCTTCTGGATGGGAAAACATAAAAAAAATGTGTTTTTCATGTGACGTGGCAACATTAATCAAAATACTCAATTTGAACACTTTCAATAGGAACCACTTTTTCAGGCAGACTCCAGTGAAGTAGGTTTATCTTTAACAGTTTTCGAGAATATAATTTAAATCGGTAAAAACCGTTCATACAAACCAATGTCTCTTTCCAACACACAGTTTCTTATGACAAAAACGGATATAATTTGGTTTCTCTAAAACTTTTGAAGATACACCTATCAAACTTTATATCATTGAACTCAGCACAAATAGAACTATCTAATTATTACATCATGTGTCCTATTGAAAAAACAGATAGACTTTGGTCGATTTCAATCGGAGAGAATTAGGAAAAAAAAAACAGAATACGTCACTGGAATCTTGTTGAAAATGTGCCTCTTGAAAATTTTTACAGAAATAAATTACTATCGTAAACAAAAAAGTTATGAAGCTTTCACAATATTATTCATCATAATCGAGAAATGCTTGTTACCAGGAAAAAATATCAAAATACAGTTTGCGCCATTGTCCATTGGAGTTAACTCAACGAAACTAAACTCTAGTTCCTTTGACTATGACGTGTCCATTGTTAATTGCCAACAACAAATTAGACACGGTTGCCAAATAATTTGTTTTTAAAAAATTATCCATTTGTGGCAACTGCATAAATACAAATACATTCGCATATTTTGAACAACGCTTTGGATGTCGCAAGCATTTTTCAAACCCAACCAGTAGAAAATGAGTTCTAATAAGAATGCGCCATTTTAAAAGGAAAGTTTCGATGCAAACGGGGCTTGGGGCTTTTAACGAGGCATGGTTGTGTCATACCAAAAAATTTTTCTAGATAAAAATATGGTTTTGAAATAAATTTAGTGACAATATTGCAACCGTGTACAAACAATAAAATCAACCAGATAAAGTAGGCGGGTCTATGACGTGTTCACGTTTGATTGGCAGCACGTGTGGGTGCATCTTTCCAGTGGCGTATGTGACTTTTGAACAAACTTTTACCTCGAAAAAAAAAAACAATTAAAATGAAAACACTTTGTACATAAAAAAAATAATTGTTGACTATTAAAAATTATTGTTACTGTTATTAGACTACATTAGTCACTGACTGTCGTCGTTTCAAAGGCATTGCTCAGATCTTTAGATAAATTTATATATTATAAGGAACCTAAAATGTTCTTTATTTTATAATTGCTTTTCACGTAAAAGGAACATTTAAAAAAAAAACGTAGTTAATACATTACATATCTGGAAATGTCTTCCTTATTAAATGTGAGTTGTTGACCGTCCCTGGGACTATGTAATGTAACAAATAGAAATATTTTCTCAATCTCTATTGATGTCCCTTCTCTATTGATTTCGAAAAGAGAGAAAAAGGCAGCAAATGCCATAGCGATAGAGATAACGATCTCTATCCATTACATAGTCCCAGTGCGTATCTCTTATTGATAATTTACAGGTTAGAATGGATATTTGTTTACTGTAAAGATGCAAATTTGATTTTGTAATACAGATGCACCAAAACCTTTTTTAGACAAATTTCACTACATATTAACTTTGTATCTTTATAATAAATAACAAGCAATAAAATTGTATACTATATTAACGGTTGCTCAGGCTCAGGCTCAGGAGACAATTTTCTCTATTCTAAAATTATTTTCAATTATTTAAACCAAGACAAAATATAGGCAGCCAATCTTTTGGCACATGACTCCTTATTTCTTATTTATTCTAACCTGTATGATAACTATTAGATCTAAATCTACCCCTTAGCTTTAAAAAAATTGTCAAGGCTTATTTGTAACAAATACATATCATAAAATAGCTTTAATAAGTACGAAAAAACCACACACTGTGTATAGTAAAAGAGTCTACACATGATACTGCATTGGTTGTAGGTAATTATTATTAATGTAATTGTAAAAGAATTAAATTATTTTTTTGCTACTCGAACTTTACACTTTTAGATAATGGGATTAGATAGAGATTGTTTAGGAACTAGCAAAATGAACGATTTTTTTGTTGATAATAAAGCTTATTGATTTTTTAATGAATACAAGGTTTGTTTTATTAACCCAACAAAATGGATGGTTTCAGGATTTGACTTTAGTTATATATATCACTCGCTGCTTGACCGTTCACAAACTATTAGGACGGCAGCTAAGCGCGCAAAAGCCTTCGTTTTAAGGAGCCGCCCGGTATTGAGGTATAATTTATTAAAGTACCAGATGCTTCAGCATATTTTTCTGCATATAAAATTGAAATGGACGACTTCAGGGTTGCAGATTTTTTTGATTTTTTTCCAATAAATCAAAAAAATCCGATTTTTTTGATTTAAATCAGATTTTTTTGATTTAAATCAGATTTTTTCGATTTAAATAAAAAACGCTTTATTTAGATCTATTTTAGATTTTATTTATCATACAACAATACCCTAAACACAAAATTCATTGACATCATAGGCGCAACTAGGCTCCAAATTTAAGGGGTGCTATAGCACTATTTTTTTTTTGGTGGGGTTTGATGGAAAGTAAATGACGCACGTGAAAAATACTTTGTTTCCCGAGGGTTTGTACTTACGTCATCATTTGCCTTCTTCTAAACAAATAATTTTTTTATGTCTGTTATTTCAAATAAACATATAGTTCCTTGCATGAAGGTTTGTCCGTCATCGATGACGTCATAACTTCGAAAAAAGGGTTTAGTTTGTCATAGATCGATAAGGTGCTAGTTTAACGTACGAATGTTTACGACGTCATTAATTTATTCCGGTCATTTATTATTTGTTTAAAAAGAAGGCAAATGATGACGTAAGTACAAACCCTCATGAAATAAAGTTTTTTTTTTTACGCGCGTCATTTACTTTCCATCAAACCCCACCAAAAACGTCTACTTTTTATTAATAAATAGATAAAACGATAGACGAAGATTAGAGGGATTCCCAGAAAGATCAAATCAAATAGCATTTCCGTATAATTAAACTGATGCAGCAAACGAGTGTATCTCTATCCCTTTTAGGGACAAAAGAAAGACAAAGATAAAGGTATGGTGCGGCCTGCGCTAAGAATGCCACTGGCTGTTAACAGCTGATTAGCTGATTACCACATGTTCGCTGCTCACCGAAGGTCCCGCGTGTGGTGTGACATCAGTTTCAGTTGCGAAGATAAATTTAAAATATCCCGCATTTTTCAGTAGCGTAGATAAATTCAATTAGTTGCATGTTGATTTAATGTTTACTGATATTTTTTATAAATCACCAAATTACAAAATCGCGATTTAAATCATGCGATTAATAGTTATTTATACATCAAGTGAGTTAAATGAATGTTTATTCATGAGAAGAAAGTTTAACCCACGAGCCCTAGCGAGTGGGTTGATTTTCTTCGAATGAATAAAACATTCTAACTCACGTGATGTATACAAAATTTTATCCCATTTTGTTGAAGTTTAAAAAATAAAGTTCAAAGAAAAATGCCGAGAGTGAGTTAAAAATATCTCAAATCACTGAGGTGTCGGACTTTCAGTTGGGCAGAGTGACTTAAAATGCCGAGAGTGAGTTAATTTTTTTTTAAATCACTGAGGTGATAAACGTCTACTTACCTTTATTGTTATGCATTCAATAATGTCATTTTTAAATGTCAAAATGGGATAAAATATAATATTAATTTGATTTAAATCAGGTGATTTAAATCAATGCAACCCTGGACGACTTTTTCCATTGGTCGAGAGCTAATAAGTTAGAAGCAAAAAATTAAAAATATACGGAAGTCGGAAACTAACATTTCTAACTTTAACCTCGTAGCTTTTAAACCGCTTAAGGTAATAAAATGATTTTTGGAATGATATTAACGTGAAAAACAAAAAAAATCGGGCGTGGTTCTGAGAGAAATGTTCGACTGCGGCGCTTTTTTTAATATTTGATATCTATGTATGTAGATTAAACCTCTGCTTTATGAAAGTGTCACGTTTTTTTATGAAAAAAATATGTTAGTCTTCACTAGCACCCTCGGTCAAGGATGATACACACACTGAGAAAATTCCCAGCAAAGAATTATTTCCTAAACTTTTTTTGGCTAAGACAGGCAGAATTTTCTCGGTACCTATAATAGTATATTATGATATAAGTGTATAAGAGGGCCTTTAAAGCACGCGCGACATATTTCAAAACACGACGCGCAGCGGAGTGTTTTGTAAGTCGCAAGGGCTTTAAAGGCCTCTTATACACGTATATCATACGCTATTTTATATTACAAATGCATCATAAACTCAAAAATGTTTTAAATGTGTTCATTCATTTTGATTAATAGTAATTTAAACGGCAGGTGCATATCTAGGTAATGAAGGTAGATCAAACGTTTCTATAGCAAAACTTTGAAAAGGTAGGCGCATCATAAACATCATTTTATGCACGCTGCAGCGTGCGATAATCGTTGATTATGATGCATGCGTAATATAAAAATACTTTTATGTCATACCAGTACATTATTGTCTTTTTATACCTTAGATACCATCTACATAATTCATCACTTTATGCCCGTGCGGGCATAAAGTACACATTCTCGCCCGCGCGGGCATAATGTACCATTCTAAACATCAGGTTGACAATTATGCCGCAAATGACGTCGTTTGCGTGTACGCAAAGTTGCATCGATTTCAAATAAAGTCGCCCTGGTATGACATAAAAGTTTGTATGCATCACGGGTACTAATAGATATATACCCTCGGGCGACTTACGAACCCTCGGGCCAGAGGCCCTGGGCTTTGTAAGGCTGTCGCCCTCAGGGCATAATCATCTACTTAGTACCCTTGATACATAAATAACTATTATGTCATACCAGTACATTATTGTGTTTTTATACCTTAGATACCATCTATATAATTCATTACTTTATGCCCGTGCGGGCATACATAAATAACTATTATGCACGAACGGGCGTAAAAGTGCACTTTTACGCCCGCATTTTAAGGCGTGAAGTAGTACTTTTACGCCCTAGGGCGCCTTTTATGCCCGCGAGCCTGAAAGTTCTAAAATTTCAAAAATAAGCAAAAATTCGTCATTTTTTTTTCAACTTTTTTGCAATTCTATTGCTTAGTTCAAAAAATACCAACTTTGTTCAACAAAACAAGCTTCAAGCTTTCAATTAATAAGAATAATGAAATAAGCAATAATAATAAAACTCTATTTTAAAATTGAAAATACAATTTTTACAGTTTTTAACTTTATTGACCGACCTTTTTCCACAGAAAAACATAAAAAAAAACTGTTGCCTCAACATTGAGTGAAAGCTCCATAGGGTGGATGGCTCATTTTTTTTGGATTTTTCATATTAATGTATATGCCAGGAGAGTTTTTTCTACAAAGTACTGCTGCTCATTAACACTATGTTGGGCACACCAGGAAATAAAGTCCCTATATGTTTTTTCATAGTCTTTTGGACTTCCTTGGCTTCTTTAACTGCCTCAAGAATAAACTTGGGGAGGCTATTTTGCTTCATTTTCAGACGCCAGACTACCATCATAGGAATACACACTTTACACTACAGAGAGTAGAATAATTATTTTTTTATTACGCATGCATCATAATCAACGATTATCGCACGCTGCAGCGTGCATAAAATGATGTTTATGATGCGTCTACCTTTTCAAAGGTTTGCTATAGAAACGTTCGATCTACCTTCATTACCTAGATATTTACCTGCATACCTGCCATTTAAATTACTACTTATCAAAATGAATGAACACTTTTAAAACATTTTTGAGATTATGATGCATTCGTAATAAAAAATTGCGTATGATATGAGTGTATAAGAGGGCATTTAAAGCCCTTGCGACTAGTTTGTATTGTTCTGGGTTGCTATAATAGTTACGTGATACTTTTGTAAACAACTGCTTCCTTGATCTAAATTTGACAAAAAGTTACGACATGCGGTAAAGATGAAATTTTTTATTTTGAAATATTTTTGATCAATGTCATTACAAAATTAAAAATATATAATTTTTTAAATATCAAAATGAAAACATGCTCATCGTGCATAGTATATTATGATATAAGTGTATAAGAGGGCATTTAAAGCACGCGCGACATATTTCAAAACACGACGCGCAGCGGAGTGTTTTGTAAGTCGCAAGGGCTTTAAATGCCCTCTTATACACGCATATCATACGCTATTTTTTATTACGAATGCATCATAATCTCAAAAATGTTTTAAAAGTGTTCATTCAATTTGATAAGTAGTAATTTAAATGGCAGGTATGCAGGTAAATATCTAGGTAATAAAGGTAGATCGAACGTTTCTATAGCAAACCTTTGAAAAGGTAGACGCATCATAAACATCATTTTATGCACGCTGCAGCGTGCGATAATCGTTGATTATGATGCATGCGTCATAAAAAATCTAATATGCACCTCGGTCCAAAAGAGCTTTAACGCCCTCAGCGTGTAAACAGCCCTCGGCTAACGTCTCAGGCTGTTACACACGCTGCGGGCGTTAAAGCTGTACTTTTTGACCTAGGTGCATAAATAACTATTTTGGGCCAGTAAAATTAACTTTTCAGTCACAGCTTTATTAAAAATGCATAATACGTTCTTGAAATAGAATAGTTTATTTCTTATTTCAGAAATTAAATTTTTTACCAAGCATCTATCTGCTTCTCCAGAAATGTATTTTTCCTACAGCCGTGCGGAAAAATCGATTTTCCGCACTGATATGCGTCCGGAAAATGAGTTTTCCCGCACGGTGCGGTAAAACTTTTTTTTTTGACATATAAGTGCGGAAAAAGTTTTTCCGCACGGCTGTCAGTGCGGAAAAAATTTTACCGCACTGATATGTCAAAAAAAAAAGAAAAATTTTACATTTTTTCGCCTGTAGGAAAATATTGCATCACCGAACTCCGCTACGCGTCGTTGGGTGAACGGCCGCCGCGTGCGGAAAAATTCATTTTCCGCACTTGTTAGGTAAATAGCTATTTCTAAAATGAATAAGTGCTTTGCTATTACTGGTAAAAATTATTTCTAAATTATTTTCTGCAAGAATGGCAAAGTACTTTACTACCATA